GAAAGCACCATGGACTGCTAAAAGAACTAGCAGATCTGTCCTGGAAGAAGTGCAGCCAGAATGCTCCTTGGAAGCGAGAATGGCCAGACTTCATCTCACCTACTTTGGTCATGTTGTCAGAAGGAACCATTCCCTGGAGAGGGCTATCATGCTTGGCAACGTGGAGGGACAACGAAAAAGGGGAAGGCCCTCAACAAGATGGATTGACGCAGTGGCTGCAATGATGGGCTCAGGTATAGCAAGGATTTGGGGCTGGTGTAGCACCCGGCAGTGTTTTGTTCTGCTGTACAATATCGCTATGAGTTGGACATGATTCGACAGCACCTAACAACAACAACAACAGTTTCCATAGGTGTTGATTGTGGATCCAAGTAAAATGAAATCCCTGACAAGTTCAGTCTTTTCTCCATTTACTGTGATGCTGCTTCTTGGTCTAGTTGTGAGGATTTTCATTTTCTTTATGTTGAGATGTAATTCATACTGCAGACTGTAGTCTTTAATCTTCATCAATAAGTGCTTCAAGTCATCTTCACTTCCAGCAAGCAAGGTTGTGTCATTTGCATATCATAGGTTGGTAATGATTCCTCCCGCAATCCTGATGCCATGTTCTTCTTCATATAGTCTAGTTTCAGATTATTTGCCCAGCAAGCAGATTAAATAAGTATGGTGAAAGGATACAACCCCGACATACACCCTTCCTGAATTTCCCCTTGTTCTGTTCGAACAACAGCCTCTTGGTCTATAGGTTCCTCATGAGCACAATTAAGTGCTCTGGAATTCCCATTCTTTTCAATGCAACATACAAGCCACCACAGTATGATGCATTGACAGATGAGTGGTGGAAACTAAATAATAGTTTAGCTCAATTAATAAAAACTGATTGCTTTGAAAACTATGCTCTTACAAAGAAGTATTTATATGGGTTCAAACTGTCAACACTGAAGTGCAAATGAGAACTTTAAGGGGCTTTAATAGTGATGAAATAATATAGGTAGAGACAGTGAGAATGGTGACACAGTGTGAAATATGTAGCAAATATCATTGAATTGAACATGTAGAAATTGTGAATGTGAATATATATTTGATTGTGCATATTGCCACCTAAAAAAGAAGAGAAAGAAACTTTCTTTCAAACTTTCAAGTGGAGGCTGTATGGCTTTAGCAGAGTGAAGAAGAAGAAGAGGAATGGGAAGATAAGATTATCGATGTATTATGGGCCAGATCATGTCAGTGTTCTAGGCCACTAGATGAGTAGCCACTAGAGGGCTTCTGGGAGAAGAATGACAGAATCTGACTTATGATTTAGGGCTAGAGAATAAACTGTAGGGGCAAACAGTGAAAGCATTGCTTTCAGTTTGAAGGCCATTGCAGTACCGCAGGCGAGAAACAGGGACTTGGAACAAATGGTGGAGGCAGAGACGGTAAAAGTGATCAGATTTGGGATATAATTTGAAGGCTGAACCAAAGAACCTGATGAAGGATTAGACATGTGGTGTGACAGACTGACTTAGGCTGGGTTCTCTAGAAAAGGTTCTCTAAAAAAATAAAAACATATGTGTGTATATATATATGTGTATATATATATATGTGTGTGTGTGTGTGTGTGTGTGTATTTGTTGTTGTTACATGTTGTTACATGTGTGCCAACTCGACGGCAAACAACAACAACATATATATATGTGTGTGTGTGTGTATATTTGTTGTTGTTACATGTGTATATATGTGTGTGTGTGTGTGTATTTGTTGTTGTTACTTGCCGTCGAGTCGGACCCGACTCATAGCGACCCCTCCTTGGGTTTCCAAGGCGGTGTCACTACGGGAGTAGATTGCATAACCTTCCTTCCGAGGAGTGGCTGGTGGGTTTGAACCGCCAGCCTTCTGGTTAGCAGTCAAGTGCCTTGGGCATTACGCTACCAGAGCTCCTCATGCAGTTATAGAGGTCGGCAAGTCCCAAGTCGGTGGGCCAGATGTCAAGCTGGAGGCATCTCCTGACTCACACAGCTGCAGGGGTTGACAAACGCAAGATCAGCAGGCAATACAGCAAGTTGCTTGCTTCAGAGGTTGATGAATCCAAGAAGGGCAGTAAGATGGCAGGCTTTGGGTTCACAGCCTGCCAAGGCAACAATTCCACGATCATATTTGAGGGACAATTTTGCCGGGTATATAATTCTTGGTTGAAAATTTTTCTCTTTCA